GACCCCGAGCTGCACCTGGGGACCGCGGCCGAGGCCAGCACCCTGCCCAAGTGAAAGTGCGAGTGAGCGAGCGAGTGGGCGCACGCCCACCCCTTCGTGTGAGAGTGAGAGTGAGAGACGGCGGACTAAACTGATCAGGTGGGAAGCTCTGGCTGCCGACACGTCCCTGTCGGCATGCGGCATGTTATGCGATGCCTGTAACGTGTACCCGTAGCTTCAGCTAATCCCTCCATACTCGTGCCATGTGTAATCTCATAATAAGCATACCGATTGTATTAATTTCATCTTATAATAAAATAAGGCTATAGCTCGATAACCATAAGCTTCAACCTCTGTCTCAATGTAAAGTCCGACTCAGTGCACAGATGCCTGCACGGCTCGTTCGCCCGTACCCCGCCATACGTGCGGATTAAAGTATAACCATTTTATCTCGGCGTGATTTTTTTTTCTGCGACGTCACTGGCAACTGGCAAGCATCCGCCCCAAAACGCCGCCTGCAACAACTGTCGAGTTCTATGACGAGACGATATCTCCGATCTCGCTCGATTGGTCGGACCATGAGAGGCCGGACCGGACGTTAGTACCTACGTGAGCGGCCGCGTGAGGCGTCTGACGGAGACACGAGGGAAGGCCCAGAGCTCTTTGTGCAGCTTGGTGGAGACACAAATAAAAATAGCATTGCTTACAAGAATAATAGTTACTAGAAGAAAAATGCTATGAGGAGTGCTTTGCAGGGTGATACAGTTACAGCCTGTTGGTGATTGCTTGTCGAGTTTGACACCTACACGCCACTCATAGTCTCCGCGCCCCCTTTCCCCCTCGACGACGCCTTCCGGTGGTGGGTATAGGCAACCCAACGCACGTGCCTGCGCCCGCGGCCGCGACCTGCGCCGTGTCGGTAGGCAGCACATCGTGCCGGCAGCCAAACCCGTCGGGAGGCGAGGAGGCTCTTGGCCGTCGTCGCCACCGCCGCCGTGCCTCGGGAGACCTTCGCCGCATACAAATTGCCCGTCACCACTTCTTTGTATATGCAATTACGGTGCGCGGGGCGAGGGGTCGCACTGTCAAGTGTCAACGGACGTCGTAGAGCATGAACCTGGGGGCCGCTGGCAGATCATTGGCGCGCTTATCGCTGTCCGGAGTGGGCCCGCCGGCGCCCGCCTGAAAGCTGCAGCCAGCTAGCTCCTCGTCGACGAGCATGAGTTTCATCTTTTTCGCGACGCAGTGACAGCGAGCAGGTGTGTGTGTGTGTTTGTGTGTGCTCAGTCAACTTGGGGCAGCTTTCTTTCAACGTCACTGCTGGGTAGCGAGGCGTCTTTTTCTCAACTGGCTCAACACGAAGTCCAAGGAGGGCATCTGAAACTACTGGAGCGCGCGCCGCACCTGCACGTCGTTCGTAAAGCGGCCGTTTTGAACGGCGCGCCACTGGCCGACTCTGGCCGCGACCTCGCGATCGCCATTCCAAAAGCAAGAGCAAGAAGCCTAGCAGAAGGCTAGAAAACAATGGCGAATATGTTGACTTGCTTTCTGTAAATTGATGCAAACCGTTTTCTTCTAGTGATTTAATTACGCTGGATTGTCCTTGCCTCGAAATTGATCGAGGTGAATTTATATGCAGAGACTGAGGTAAGTTTATATACTGCTTATGCCCTGGATTGTTTGGCCATTGAGAACAACACAGCATATTTCATTTCAAAAGTTAGGTTAGATATTTTCGTAGGCTCTCGGAACGTCATTTCAGTCAGCTGTAAATGTTTAACATTTGTGTTGTCTATTCAGATACATTTTTTCTCTACGGTGTAACTTATATTTTCTAGTATTTACAAATAGTACGGGATTCAACACTACTATGTTGATTTTTATTATGTCTTTAGTAACCTTTCATCTTGATATTTTTGTTTATTGTCTCTACTTTCTCTGAACACAAATTTTGTGAACGAAATCGCTTCTGCAGTTTCTCTAAAAGATTCTGCTTTTCACACACATTTTTTAAAAACAGAGTCATATTTTATTGTTTATTGCAAAATTTAGATTTAAATTTTTTTAGTAACTTTGGACTTTTTGTTCTAGTTCAGGTTTCTGTTATTTCTGTGTTGTTTTTATTTGTCATTTATCCTTTTTTATTAATGGCAAAAATGACAGCCTTCTAGTTCTGAAATTACTTTCAAAAAATGGCGAAATATAACCTTTTGTATTTGGATGTGTTACAGACAATCTTCTTTGGAAAATCTTCAAGCATAAATCAACCCTTTCAATATATGGAGAATAACATGTGATTATGAAATCTCAAAGATGGGGCCATTGTAAAGAAACGGTATGCTGCGTGGAGATAACGTGGGTGATGCTGGCAGCAGTGCAGATAACAACGGTACTCAAGCACCGAATATAGAAGCCACTACTAGTCAATCTGGAACTGGAGAATCTATAGGATCTTCTAACTCTGTTCCAGAAATCCTAGAAACTGTTCCAACCTCAGAGAATAATCATGTCAACACAGAGAGTCTTGTAGAACAAAGTGGGCAAAGTGCTGTTCAAACCATTCCTGAAGAGACTAGTGTACCTTCTCAATCTAATGATACAATCCTATCACAATCATTGCATCAAGGAGAAAGTGAAGCTTCTGAGGCCTCCACCTCTGCTCAGCACACATCAGCTATCATATCAACTCCAAGTGTGCCCACTAGACCTATTCTTTCCCCAGGGTCAATAGCAATTTTACGTATTAGAACCACAGAAGAAGATGCTAATGCTTTGCTTCGGGACATTGCTAACAACGTTGTGACCTTTGCAGAACTTCTGCAGACAGCACAAGCGGTTCAAAGTGGGCAAGCAGTGCAGGTGGAGCAAAATCCCTCTGCATTGAGTGGCGGAGAAGCACGTCCTCAGCGAAGACATAGAAATATTACATTACCTATCATGGAAAGACCTAGAGCAAATAACAACAATAACAACAACAATAGGGCCCGAAATAATAATCCAAATACAACAAATGCACTCATAACAGTGCGAAACCAATTGTTTTATACACTATTTGTGAAAGCTGCTCTCTTATATGCAAGAACATTTCCTAGACATGTCAGAAGAATTCTTGAATTCTTTTTCTTACTATTGGTAAGATATTTAAAATATGATTTTTGTTGATTGGTATACATTGAAATGTTTAAATCAAAAACAAACAAAAAAATTGTTTCAGGCCCTTGGATCACTCTTTGTGTTGATCTACATTCATATTGCGTTCTCAAGGACACCAACCAATTGCCTTGAGCACATTCGTAATGACTGGCCTCGAGATGGCATATTAAGAGTAGAAATTGTTCGAGGGGGTGTATCAGATGATTACACAGTTGAAAAATCATATGCAAAGGAGGAGAGATTACGACAGGAACGTGTTGAAGACATCAGCACTGTTTTAGGTCTTCTGACAAGAGATGGGTAAGTAACAAAAAAAATTGGTGTTCTTATCAAACAGTGGGTTACCAACACCTCTTGTATTCTAGAAGTAAAATGACTGCTATAAATATTTTGCTTTAATTCTAAGAACTATGGTTGTAATGGCAGCTAACTAAATGTTTCCAATTTAATATTGGATCCAATATTCATCTTGTCCCCTCCGTGAGTTTTGTTATGCTTGTCTAACCTTCCTGCTCAATGCCTTACATTGATCCAGTGTAATGCTATAGTCCGTTTTTGTTAACTGACAATATGAAGAAAAATTTAACTATAGGAAATGAAGAGGGAAAATTCTACTAAATGGACAAATTTGTAAACTTTGTTTTCAGTTTTCAGCAAAAATATTTTGTTCACACACTTCATTGCTTTGGTTTTGGTGACAGCATCCTATGGTGGTCTTACTTGTTTCCCTGCTTTCTCTGAATTTGAACTATACTTTCACTATTTCTTTTTTGAAACGATTTACATTTTTTGTTCTTTCACAGTAGGAAAGACATAAAAAATTTGAAGCTGAGTATAGTGATATGTATTTTTCTCTCATATTTCTTTTCTTTTCTTGTTCAGTTTGACAGTATTCAGAGCACTTCCATTCAGCTATTATGTATGGAATCCAATCAGGTACCTCTCTTTGATTAATTCCTTTTAAAGGCAGTTGTTAATTTTTTATTTGTAGCAGAACTAAAAGCTTCAGGCTTTCTCCTTAAACTTTCGGAATTGATAATATGTTGAATGGCACTCGTATCATTATCATATTTCCCGCATGTAGTTTAAAAATGTATGGCATTCCAAAATTTTAAATTTTAAACCTAGATGATTGAAAGAAATTAGTAATCAGTAGCATTTCTGAAGGAAAGTCTAAAAAATGTCTTCTTTAATATTATGAAGTCTTTTTTTTCCCCCTTTCTCTTTAATCTGTTAGTTTTCTTTTGCTGCTGCTATAACCTTATGTTGCAAGCTTTGCTACTCACTCATGTGTAAATCGGCTTTGGTAGTTTCCCTGTGAAAATTGTCCAAATGATTCTGAAACTAACTAGCAGTCTCTAATCCAGCCCACTATAGTTGATTCACTTAATGCTTGATAATATCGAAGCATGGATGTTTATGAGTCTCTTTGTATTATTTAATCATTATACCACCAACTGTGCATCTTAAATCTGAATTTTCTTAATTTTGTTTTTCAGTTTTATGATAGAACCATCTACATCAGAAGTAGGGGAGGAAAGAAATACAGGTCTCGCCAGTGAATCAGATGTTTCCTCAGATGATGGTGAAAATGAAACAACTCCAAGTAACACTGAGGGATTGCAAATGTTATTTGAAAATGAAACAGCACAAGAACACTTAACTAGTAAATCCAAAGGTATTTTGAAGTCTATTACATTTATTCAATAGCTCTACTACTTTTATAGTCTATTTCTGTGTCTAAATTTTATTGCTCATTTCACATTAACATTCAAGATGAGATGGATATTTCAGAAGGGTTTAAACTGGAAGATGATGGTGCTAGCATACAAAAGGTAAAAGATCAGACGTTGTCCTCATTTTTTGAAGATCTACCAAAACTGTATTGGTTTAATTTCTTATTTAATTGTTGGGTCAGGTTGATTCTGAAACAAATGAAGAGATGCAGAATACAGGTCCAGAGTATTTATCTGTTGATGCTGAGGTAACTATCTGTCTAAAATTGTATCTTTAAAATCCTTTGCAAAATGATAAAGTTCTAATTTATTGCATCACTCAAAAACTGATGACTTTGTCTCTCATTTATTAGGGAATCATTTCTGTGAATAAGACAATCACAGACGAAGAAGCTGAGAAGTCTTTAAAATCTGATGTTGAAAAACTAGTACGAGCTGGTAGGTTCAATTTCAAGTACTGTTTATTTTTCCAATGTTGTTTCTTATATTTTCACAATACTATTTCTTTTGTAGTATGGCCTGAAGACATTTACATTGTAGAGTATTCTCTGGAATATGGATATTTACGCCTTGGTGCTGAAAAACGTAAACTGTTAAACATCCCTGTGAAAATTGTTGCTCTTGACCCAAACAAAGATAAATGCTTTGGTGATTGGTTTTTACGATTTATTTTGAAAGAGTTCCTAGGCTATGATGATGTGCTGATGGCCTCTATTAAAAATTTGGCAGAAACAGAGGACAATAAAGGCTACTTAAGGTAAGACAGGTGCCATCATACCCGCACCTTCTTGTAATGTGTTCATTACAAAAGGTCAATGCTGTTAAACTGCTCTTTCTCTTTTTTAAACTCACACCATTTCCATCTTTCAGAAATGTGGTGACTGGTGAACACTATCGGTTCGTGACCATGTGGATGGCTCATACATCTTACTTTGCCGCTCTTTTCGTCATGCTTGTCTTTGTAAGTATTCTGCCTCGTAACTTTGACTGGCAGTATGAGGGTGTGTGTGTGTGTGTGAATGTGTTTCTGTGTAAGAATATTTGGAAGGGTAGGAGGAGGAGGAGGGCGCTCGGCATGGAAAAGGGGCCGGACTTCACACAGACGACATGGCAGAGGCAGCAGGGAAAGGAGGGGGAGTGGGGCTCGCGGGCCCGGGCCAGGCCCCGTCACACTGGCGCCACTTCGCTCTGGCTGTCCTCCCCGCCCTTTGCCCCCCGCCAAGCCCCGCCCCGCCCCGCCCCGTCCGGCTCCCTCCGCCTCGGCCGGGAACAGCCTGGCGCGCGCACCGTCCATACGGTGCTGTTTTGCGCGGCTTTCCGTCGGAAATCTGTTACCTCTTTTGCGTCGGCGAGTCTCTCCTCCGCTCCTCCTCCCGGATGCTGATCGGGACTGCTCCCAGACTCCGTCGACCTCCGCGGCCCCGAGCTCGGATTTTAGTTCGCGCAGCGTTGGCGTGATGTCTGCAAGCAATGAGAACAAAAATCCCCAAACCTGTGTTGGCTGCATTCGAGATCGGTCCCGGAAGTCAACAGTTAAAATCACCCCCCCCCCATGGATTCTCCAGGTGTCGCGGGGCGCGAGCACCGTCTCCCCTCGAGCCGTAGCGCGTGGGCGTCGGGGCAGGAGGAGGCTCGCTCGGTGCAGCCCTGACGCCCGAGGAGCGCAGGGTAGGCAGCCCGCCAGGCTCGCGCGCACGCGTGTGGCCTACCCGGAGTCCCTCCCGGTCCCGGTGACGAC